TCTGATTGATCCACTCCGTCATAACTTGTCCTTTCGTATCGCTACAGTTCATACCCCATTGTGAGGATTTGGCATTAAAGTTACCAGCTATAATGCAATCTCCTTCATTATCGTTTATGAGGAGCTGTATTTCTTGCAAGTCTTCGATATCAGCATTACCGGAGCAATAACAACTAAATATTGTAAAATTTGTGAAGGCGACATATGGCACTGAATTATCTTTGGTCGGATGTTTTCTGTGGATATAGTCAAGTCCAGGATAGAACCAAAGTTTTGATGTTCAAATGTAACTTTTTCCCTCTGATTGATCACAATCAGATTATTAGCTGCAATCCACTCCGTCATAACTTGTCCTTCCGTGTCGCTACAGTTCATACCCCATTGAGAGGATTTGGCATTGAAGTCACCAGCTATAATGCAATCTCTCTCCTTCATTATCGTTTATGAGGAGCTGTATTTCTTGCAAGTCTTCGATATCAGCATTACCGGAGCAATAACAACTAAATATTGTAAAATTTGTGAAGGCGACATATGTATACCCGTTGCTTTGACCTTGATCTTTTATTTCTTCGTTGTTACCTAGTAATTTTATTGCTGTTTTGAAATCGTCCCCGTATACCAAGTCTTTTTTACCGCGAATCGTACGTATGTCTATCTATGTATCTATCTATCTATCTATCTATCTATCTATCTATGAATCTACCATCACAATTGAGTGATAGTTTGGCCCATTTAATAACCGACATAATCGACTTAATCAAACCTCGAGCAAAGAATTTTCATTCTGACGGAATCAATCGACTTGTATTACGTTTGCAAAAGTTCACTGATTCAAATGACGCTTATTTCGATTTAATTGAATAATTACTTACTCATATATTACAATTCAATGTAGACTACTGAAAATGGACAAAACTATCGAAACAACTCATCCCGACCATCATACCCGACTCACTCATTTCATCAGATTTGAGATTTCATATATTCCAAAATCATGAAAAAATAACGAAGACAGTAAAGAACAAATGGTGCACATGGATCTGATCAAATATTCTCAGTTTATGAAAAGAGTTTCAACCCTTCAAAGAAGCTAGTGTGAGAGTTACTCANTTGAACTATATTTATTAGAAGCTACCGCGCATACAGCGGGAAATTCAAACCAGTAGAGGAACAAAGAGACTTCTGGCCCACTTCAAGGTCGTGCGTCGCTGGTAAGTATTTCAGAGAAAAACTTTAGTGAGTGGAAGAGAGAAACGTGTGACGTCATCGACGCAGGATGGAACGAGTATCGTAGCGATTCAAGCATGGAACTCGGCCTCCTTGGTACTCCGCCTCACCTATCAGCCCCCTTAGTAATCAGCCCTCGGCCCCCTTGGGACTCCGCATCACCGCTCAGGCCCCCTAGTCACGTCATTTTAATTAAAAAAAGTTTATTGTTATGAGATTGAAACCTGGATCGTCCGAGTGGTAGACATTGTCCTTAGCCTCTACACCAACGTAAGATATTGAAAGTAACTGCGAATGCTGGGTATTTACAGCGTTAGATTTGTCGGGACTGAAATTGACCTATTTTATATACTTGACCACACTTTTTTGATTTCCGTAGAATGTTAGAAAAGTTGTAATCGTCATTATGATGTTGAAGATAGGAAAATATACTTAGCTCTGGGAAATAATTAATATTTCATATAAAGATGTGTATGTGTGTGTAAGAGCGACAGACGCGTGTGACGTAATCGAGGCAAAGAGAGATGGAGATGGTATCGAGGTTATACGCTGCCAATGCCAGCATGGCAGGTTCGGCGTTGCCGGTTGTACAATAAATCGTTGTTTATGGGGCAATGTAGCGTTGCCGGTTTTAAAATTAATCGTGAACGACTCGATGAAAATTGGAACATTACAGATTAATGAGCAAAAAGTTAGCCATTGTCACATAATAATATGAAACATACTTACTAGAAATACCTAATATCTTGGCCACTTCTGTATAAAGTCGACCGCTCAAATTTTTATTTTTGTATGATTGTAACTTGGTATTCCATAGCGCAGGTCTTGCTTGTATTCTTGCAATCAGCACCTCAACATGGTCATCCTCTGAACTCATTTTGAAATCTGAACGCTACGGAAAACAATCCGGATGTACCCCCCTCTTTTATTTTTTGAACGGGTCAACTCAAAAACTAGAAATTTGGGATAATGAAATTAATGCATGAATACTTTATTTTGAAGTGAAATTGACAGATTAAACTTCCAAGATGGCGACTGGGTGCCATCTGGGAACAAAAATGTAAATGAAAAGAGGGGCTTGTGACACATCATCTTAAAGTTCCTGTCAAATTCTTCATAACTCTAGAATATAATATCAATATCTTCAACTACTACAAAATGGCGGAACTTTCAATAATTGCCTGAATACATTGATATTCAACTACATGATATGAAGTAATAAGCTTGAGGTCAGTTCAGAAGATGCTCGAAATGGTTGCTTTGAACATCTTGACATATGAACAGCCTATCCGATATATCACGCCGAACATTTTCGAACACAGTAACGTGTATACCCAATATTGAAGCAGGTTCAGTTTCGTACACCTTCTGTTTCAAATGGCCCCCCAAAAAAAGTTCAAAGGTGTCAAATCTGGCGAGCGGGCTGGACCTCGACGGCCAATCCAAAGATCGGGAAAAGTAGTATCCAAATAGTTTCTTATTTTTCTGGAGTAATGTGGTGGTGCTCCATCTTGTTGGAATATAATATCCATATCGAATTCATTAGGATTCGCTTCGACGATTTCAATGCTGAGAGGGTCAACAGTAGTTTCCAGCGTATCCAAATTCAGTTCCCCTGTTGAATTTTGATCAATAAATGGAGGTCCTACAATATGGTTTTCCAATATTCCTGCCCAAACGTTGATTTTTTCTGGATATTGGGTTAATGTTTCCCGGAAAACGGGAAGGTTGGTGTCACTTCAATAACGGCAATTTTGTCTGTGAACATTGCAATTTGAAAAAAGTGTACGTTCGTACATTTAGGTAGCATGTCTTCCGAAGGTTTTCGTCATGATTTTGCAGAATTTTGTTCTTCGTTCAGGATCATCGTCAGTTATTTGGTGTACCATTTTAATTTTGTATGGATGATACCTATTCCTCTTCAAAAGTCTCCACACAGTAGAAGGAGACACCTCACAAACATTCGCGACAGAATAAGTAGACTTTTCAGGATTTGCTACCATCTCACCAATTATTTGCACTTGCTGTTCTTCCGGAATGGACGGATGACATGGGGGCTTTTTTATTATGTACACTACCGGTAGTTGTGAATTTGGTTACAAGTTCCCTCAATTATATATTTTCTACAGATAGGGCGATTCGGAAAACGTTCATTGAAAATCCTTTCGGTCTCGTGAAAGTTACGGGTCGCATTGTAAATGAAAATCGCCTCAATTGTATCTTCCAATGGACGAGAATTGGCCATTTTAGAGATTGTTGACGTGGTACCTTTTCACTAGTAAAACCAAAATCTAAATGAGAATATTCTAACTGAACAATGATGTTCATTGTCGTACTGACATTTTTTGACGTCTTTATAAACAAAAAATAACTTAACAAAGCTTATCAGGTTGTTGGAATTGCCATATGGCAGATAAAAAGGAATATTTCTAGAAATATCGATATTAATGTGTTTGTCTTCAGGAAATTATTGAATGTTTCGCCATTTTGTAGTAGGTGAAGATATTGACTTCATATTTAGAGGTTGTGAAGTATTCGTCAGGAGCTTCAAAATGATGTATCACAAGATCCCCCTTTTCATTTATGCCATTCAGAAAAAATGAACACTTATCGCTGAAACAGATGTTTAACCGAAGATTAGATATGGTATTTACTCGATGAGACATGATTTCACAAAACTCTATTCTTCTATCATAATCATCCTCGTGGAGCTCTTGAAGAATCTGCATTTCATAAGGATGAAATTTATGCATTTTCAATGCTTTTCTTACAGTCTCGCGTGAAATTCCCGTCTGTTCTGATACTGATCGTAAAGAGCTCGTGGGCTCTACTGCAAATACTTCCAAAACTTCAACTTGAGCTACTTTATTTAGTACTGTGGGGTTATTTCTTATTTTATTTGTCTCTAAAAGATGCAAGAAACGGCTAGGCAGGTTATGTCATCAGTATTTTGAGATGCGCATGGTTGTCGACTATCTTTAGAAGGGAAAAACCATCAACAGCAACTATCACATAGCGTTAGTGAAGCGTTTCAATAACGAAATCGCGTGAAAGCGACCCATTTGAATTTGAAAAAGGAATCATCAAGACTCTACTAGACCGTGCTTTTGGGCTCTGTAATACAAAGGAAGATCTCGAAAAAGAACTAGGCATCATCAAAAACGACCTTCAACGGAATGGCTACTCCAGAGTGATGGTAGAACAGACCTTAGCTAGAAGACAGCAAGAACTCCATAAGGAAGAGAAGCCTCCACAACCAGTACGTGTACTTCCCTACATCAGAGGATTATCGGAGAGGATGAGAGAGATTGGGTCCAAGTACAGGACCTGCTTCAGATCTGGGAACACTATCCGTAACAACCTTACAAAAACCAAGAATTCCAAGAATTGCATTTACCGGGTACCCTGCAAGTGCGGAGAATTATACATCGGTGAAACTAAGAGGCCATTGAAAATTCGCACAAGCGACACACACAGCGAGGAGAAACCAGCAAATCCGGAATAGTACGGCATGTTTGGACTCATCAACATAACATCAAGTGGGCTCAAGCTGAAATCATCTACAAAGAGGAACACTGGTTTAGGAGAAAATTCAAAGAAGCTGCGAATATTTTGTCTAACAACGCATTTAGTCAAGCTAGCGTTGAGATACGTAATATATGGAAACCTCTTATCAAGCGAAAAACGACCAATTTCCGCCAATCGGTCATCTCCATATGGCCGCTATAATCATTGTATCACTCTCGTATATGGAATGGTAGATTATGAATTATTATGAATGAAAAATCAAAACTGTTCTCACCTGAGTAAAGTTTCCAATGTGGATCGCCTCAGCAAGCAGCATTGGAGAACAGGAGCTAATATCGACAATTCATCATGAAATGGTTTACCAAATCCACGACCGTGGTCCAAATGTAAAGTGAAGGTATCATTCCCGAACATCCTGAAAAACGTCACATATTCAGTTTCGTTAGCCGACTATTCTACTTGTTGATTTACTTTAATATACGAGATCAACTACAAAATATCAGAATGGAGAATATGATTTCAAAATATCAGAAACATTATAGAGACCAACGAAGTATACGATGAAATAATGATAAAAAACTTTTAAAACAAGCTTTTATTTAAGTGTCCCAAAAAGATCAAAATAAAATTTTAAATCACATTAACCACATTCATTTATGACTTTACAGATTTGAAATTATAATAAAAACTTGAATTTCACTAGTTCGGACTTCCATTGTCTACTATATAAAATGATTTGAAATCCCTGAAACAACTAAAAAAGAAGAATTGAAAATGAATAGCTGAAAATAACAATTATATTAACCAAAATAAACCTGAAATGAAATAATAGTGAAATGAAATACAAGTAAAAATAGAACAATTGAATGAATAAAAATAAAGAAATGAAAAAAAAAGAAAGAAAATAAAAAGTGAAGAGATTCCAAGTCACGTTAGTTCACGACGTTTCGATTGTTAGTATCTACAATCGTCTTCGGGTGATGACTGGACTGATTCCTCCGAGAGATGATTATTTATAAGTCGTTCGAATACTTTCACTTATCCCCGCTTTCCATTTTCCGCTTCACTGGTTCCGTGGAAGATGACCGTTTCGGCGGGATTTGGCCATTTTTCGCTTGATGATGGGTTTCCATATGTTGCGTATTTCTACGATGGCTTGGCTGAATACGTTGTTGGACAACATGTATGCGGCTTCCTTGAATTTTCTCCTAAACCAATGTTCCTCTCTGTGCAAGATTTCAGCTTGGGACCACTCGATGTTGTGTTGATGGGTCCAAACATTACTGATTTGCTGGTTTCCCTCGCTGTGCGAACATTCAATGGCCTCTGAGTTTCACCAATATAGGATTTTCCTACTGCTGCTAGGCTGCTACTATCCGTACAACATCAGAACCTGCTTCAGATCCGGTAACACTATCCGTAGCAGCTTCACGAAAACTAGGCCACCAAACGCGGACTGCAATTCCAAGAATTGCATTTACCGGATACCCTGTGAGTGTGGAGAATCCTATATTTTATTTCACTATTATTTTATTTCAGGTTTATTTTGGTTAATATAATTGTTATTTTCAGCTATTCATTTTCAATTCTTCTTTTTTAGTTGTTTCGGGGATTTAAAATCATTTTATATAGTAGACAATGGAAGTCCGAACTAGTGATATTCATCATGAAACATTGTCAATCACCTTCAAACATAATAAAAACTTGTCGCGATGCCTAGAAGAAATCTGTACATATTCAGTCAAATGAAATTTAAATTAAGAAACATTCTGACAGATCAACTAGGTACTGCAATAAATTTCAAACCCGATAAATCCTATGTGTGCAGAAAAGTTATTCGAAGTTCCACATTTCAAGCATTGACGGCACTTTTATTTAATTACAAACATTATGAATTGCTTACAAGTTTAGTAGGTGCCTACCTAATTACAAAATTTCGATTACAAATTGAAATTATCACGAAAAGCCTTTATTATAATTTCAATTCTGTGAAGTCAAATAAATGTGGTTAACTTACATAAAATTTTGTTTTAAAAGTGCTTTTATCATTATTTTATTTTATATTTTTAGCTTCAATCGATAGTTATCGATCAATACGAAAATCCATCTTTCAACAGAAAAAATTAAGGAACGGGGAAAACTATTATTAGGATAAACTATACACTATAGAAGTTGGTAGGTACCTACTCCTCCGGTATATCTTAAAGAAGAATTAGCTTGTTATATTTCTTAGTCTATTCATTTCATTGATGGCGTCATTATTACATGGCCGAGTCCCAGTTAATTTCAAACAGTCTAATTCTTCTATCAGGAGGCCTTTGGCGTTTCAAGTTAACGCTTTCATTGGCATGTTTTTAATTTCGTTTCAATTTCTCTTTCTCAAACCTTCTTTTCCTTTGTGTTGATGTATCTTTATTTCCCATAGTGTTCCCAAGAGTACCGAAGAAATATTTGTCCACCCTCCCAGAGCTTCGTTTAGCAGGGTAAGAGCTAATATACTAAGCTAATATAACAGGGTGCGCTTCGGTGCCCTGAGGTAGTACGTTCACGACATCATTTTACACCCCTATGCCATACAGTCCTGGGCACGGCCTCACCTTGACTTGGGTGGTAATTTGGTGAAAGATGCGCCACTTTTTCAGCTTAGAACTTACTTGTGCCTGACGAAACATCGTTCCGGGTTTGATTATGGAGTTTTCCTTCTCCTAGACGGGGTGCAGACCAATGCTAATGCCGCCCATCTCATTCATTCAAAGGTAAAAGCTTGATTTAATTTTTTTCCTAGAAATATATTTTTTTTATTGAAGCCAAGCCTGGATGTGACATCTATTTCATAGTGGGCCTACCAACTGCCTATCATAAACGAATGAGTAAACAAAATTTTGTGTCCCTGCTATTTACCACTGAGGAGATCTCTCGTACGGAGCCGATCCTGGCAGCAGCATCAGGTCAAGTTTATGATTAACATGCATTGTCATCGGTTTTGGACCAAGTCAAGTTAAATTTGACCCACTTCCCGGTGACTTGTATGTATTTGTTAACATACATACAAGTCAAGTTAAATAAAAGCTTTCAATAAAGAACACATGATGAACTAACATTCAGTTTGATCCATATGTTTTCTTGAAATTTGACAACCCACAGAAAGTACTCATGTATGGAGCTCTGCCCCTAAGTATACCCTGAAGCTGCTGGATTCCATCCAGAAAAGAGCCATCCGCTTAATTGGAGACGAGAACATCACTTGCAACCTTGATAGTTACAGAAGAAAGGTTGTAGACTTGTCTCTTTTTTATAGATACTTTCACGGGAGGTTTTCAAGTGACTTGGCACATTTGATTCCACCAAGAGCAGTACATATCAGAAATATTCTACGGAATGTGGCTGCTCATCATTTTGAGGTTCAACTCAGTACATCTCGAACTTCACTTTTTAAGAACTCTTTAATTTGGAGAACAGTGTTCATGTGGAATATATTTCCTGAGAAAGTTTTTCACCAGCGATTCAAATCCAATGTGAATCAATACTTTCGCACAGGCACCGCTCTAAGGACGCTTTAAGTATTTTTCAGTAGTGCTTGTGTTTTGTATTAAAATTACTATAGTTGAAAAAACTAAAAAATACGCTTTTAAAGAACATCGAACTGAAAAGTTAAAAATATTTTTTTTAAATAAGCTTACAACGATAACGAACAAAAAATATTAGTATTATTGTGAAAAAAGCTACGGGCGCTCAATATACAAAAATATGGCACAAAGCGTCCACGCTTTTTTCACAATAATAATTTTTTTTTAAGTTCTAGTCACTAGTATTATAAATCTTTAACAGACGGCGCACGAAAGTAAAATTCCTCTCAAACAACTTAATAAACTTTGGGGTCACAAATTCTATAATAACACCTACTGTGTTTCACACAGAGTCATGTGCAAATTTACATTGAGAATGAACCGGTTGCTGTAAAGAGTTTTCAGTGAAGTGAGAGTTTTTTTAAAAAAGCTATTCACATGAGATTTGAAACGGAGATCGTTGTCTATTATTAAACCCAAGCTTTTCGCCGATTTAACGGCCACTAATGGTACATCATTGATAGCAACTGCCAAATTTGTATGTATAAAATCGTATTCAGTTTTTGGTGAAAAAACTAATATTTTTGACTTGGACGAATTTAATTTCAAGTTATGAGAGGCACTTTTTCAAATATAAGTTCAAAATCATCATTCAGAAAATTCTGTGCATCATTCAGGTTTTCTTTACGAAAACTAATTAATAACTGCGTATCATCGGCATATGCCTGAACATTACACGCGGTTATGGATTTTAGAATATCATAATAGATAATGAAAAATAGTAGACCGAGAATACTTCCTTGTGGTACTCCAGCTTTAATTTCAACGTAGTCAGAGTTTCTTTCATTTCATACTATCTTCTGTTTCCGATTCGTTAGATAATACTTAATCATTGAAAGTGAACTATCAGAAAAACCGTAATATTAGAATTTAGCATATAAAAGACTATGATTGATAGTTTCAAATGCTTTGGAAAAATCTGGAAGTGTTAACACACTAATGTTTCTTTTATCCCAATTAGCAATCACTGTATCTAGAACTTGAATGAGAGAATTAGATGTACTCATTTTTTTCTGGAATCCAGTTTGACATAAGGGAATCAGTAAGTGAGATGAACTATAAATGGATCAATGGAAGGGCTGCAGTACCTCAACATGGTTATAGATATATCATCTATACCGTATGCTGTACTTTTTATCTCAAATAAAATGTCATGAATCTGTTCAATGGTAGTCATTTTGAATACAAATTTAGGTTTATTCGCTTGACAAGAATGACTATGACCAACTTTGAGAAAAATAATTATTTGTCACTTTAGGATCAGATCATTCTCCAGGAATTATGTTATTCTCATCTCTCAAAACTTTGAAAACTATCAAAGTATTCCAAACTCTCCTACTATCATAGACTCTACAAAAACTTTTTAAATATGCCCTTTTTACGTTTCTTATCGAGGAGAGGGTGAAGTTGCGCAATCGTTTATATCTTTTCCAGTCTTGATGGGTTCTTTCTTATATTTACTCAAAGCATTATTTCTTTGTGACATTGAAATTTTAATATTTTGAGTCATCCACGGAGCTTTTGGTTCAGTAACTCTAACCGTCCTTTTAGGTGCATAGTAGTTGAATACTTGAAATAAGTAAAATAAGAACTCAATGAATATTTCAATTTTTCTATTGATATCATTTTCTGCTAAGAGCTCATACCATGGTAACGTTTACAAAGATATAATGCATTTTATCGCATTGAAATTAACATAATCCCTAAATGTAACAAATTTGACTTAGTCTGTTGTGTTCCAAGATCAAGTTTATAAAAAAACTAATTTGTGATCTGATATTAAGTCAGCACTGACTGTTCCTGCCTCCGATACCATATTTTTATCAGAAATGAAGATGTTATCAAGAGTCGAGCATGCCCTAACGACAATTCTCGTTGATTCTTTTATCAACAGGGTCAAATATTGTCCATATTCCTAACAAAGTCTATAATTGAATTATCCCTAACAAAGTCTATAATTGAATTAATTTTAAGTGGTCTATTTACAGCGTGACTCACGGTCAGGTTAGACGTTTTTGGACAACACAAAGCATGATTTTTTTGAAAATTTCACCTCTCATATTTCCTTACATGGTCTATCGATCTAAAATATTTTCAGCATTGCGGCGTTGCCACTTCCATCAAAAAGTCCTAGCAACTTTATTTTTTTAAATGGAACACCCCGTATATTAATACATTTTTGGAATCGCTCTAGTATTTTAATACTTTTTTGTTAATAATGTCCTATAACTATCTCTATCTGTTTTCTAGATAAAAAATAAATTGTGCTAAATATGGTCCAAAACATAGCCTTAATTGAAATTAAGTACATCAGTACTCTCAATTCATGAAAAGTTGATGTTTTGAGGATAGTTTGGAAAAACTCGAAATATTCAAATAACACCAAGAAATCGACTTCATATCATACAGGGCGAGCTAAAATTGCTATTATTTCCATTGTGCATAAAAGTAGTCGAAAGTTCATTTTTTCAAATGAAACCCCCTGTATATTACTCGGTAAATTGAAAGATGGTGGAAAATGCTTCAAGATGATAAACCATGTCCCTATATCTAAATCGTCAAGTTTTCTCAATACGGTCGCTTCTTCTAGAAACATTATTTTTTTTTAGAATTTGGATTTAGGTAGCAGTGGAGTTATCAAGCTTACAGCAGTTCGGTTACTTTTATAAGTAATTTACAAAGAGTTATCGACGGTGTTTCGAATCATCTTCCAAAATGAATGTAAATATCGATTATTCAAACGAAGTTCTTATGAAATTATTTATTATACACATGAACAAAGTGATCAAATCATTGTCAGAACGCGTAAAAAATTCAACCAAAAGTATCCTCAATTAACACCAATGAACGAGAGGAAGTTTGTAAGGTAACAAAATAATTTCCTTAACTATGGGTCAAAGTTTCCAGGGAACAACTATACCAAAAATCAGTCATTTCTAGGTAAAAAGTAAGATTTTGTGGGCTAAAACATGTGAAAGTACAGACAATAACAGAATAGGATGATTCAATATAACAAAATTGTATAAGGCCCAAAATGAAATTCGTTTTGGTAATCCTAAATTCAACCCATAAATGTTCACAGAGTTTATTGGATGTGGCTTTTAATATAAAGAGCAACCCCTCCTCCAAAACGGTTTCTATCCTTTCTCAATAAATTATATCCAGGTAGCTATCCGTTGCCACATCATTAGACAATCTACTTTCAGTTATAGCAATTACATCAAAGTTCATGTTTTGCATATAGTCGGGGCTCCTCACCTGAAAGTTTCGTAGTGATGTCTATCCATATTTCCTGTCAAAAAGTCAAAAACTGACATATCCATCAAATCATACAGTCTTCGTCCTTTATCGTAAGGTGGTATTTCTCTCACTAGCTGACAGTAGTTGGGATCTGTCTCCCACTGGGCTTTCCGGCGTTTATGATAGGATCTTCTCCATGGGTGTCTCCATACCTGTAAACATAAAATAACATTCAATGATGATTTGTAAAAAACTCCAAATTGATTTGAAAATATTCACTCTTTGGTGGAGTACGAAGAAAAAAAATTGAGCAGGTATAACTTCAATTTGAACAAAAGTATAATTTATAAACGTTAATTAGATAGCAATACTTTGTCAATAATACTTTTTGGACTTCGATGGAATATCGAGTTCTTTTTCAGATAATTGACTAACATTATTGTTTCAAGATAGCATCACATATACAATGTCATCCCCAAAGTATGCACCATATGGAAAACTTATTTATTAAGGGTTTTTCGACAAAAAGTTATTCCTGATAAAAGTTTATTCATCCTCTAAAGCTAAATATACACCAACAAAATACAGTACAACACACGTTATATACGAGGAGCCTTCAAATATTTGATTTTGAGACAAGAGTAAAGCACTTTTATTTTGAAAAATCTCGAAATCTCGGTAAATGTTATTCAGGAAAGTTGTTCGGCATTAAAAAAAATCTACATTTGAAGTGATGGCCATCTGAGTGAAGTTTTATTGGTTACCAATATACGAAGAAGTATGGAAAGATTTTCAAGGAACTAGGTATGAATCGACTCGACTTTATTCATCTTTGTAAAGTACAGCAAAAGATACAATATTTACAGGAGTGACGAATAAATCACAATGCCACTGAGGAGTATACCCCTGTATGTGGTTGAAATAAAAAATACATAGGTAAAAAATACAAAATACAATTAAACAAAAAATTTAAATTTACATACACAATAAGATTAGTTTCACGAACACATAATATTAAATAATGTTATGGTAATAAAATTTTCATTAAGATTAGTTAGACAAGTTAACAACAACAGGCAACTAGATGCCTATGAGGGTCTAGAAATAAGTAAACATAATAATATTATGAATAACGATAACGGACCAATACCAAATAGCATAATATATAGCTTGTTAAAATAATATTGTTGGGTTTACTGATTACTACAAAAGACACATTATATATTTAGATAGACAATATTGTGAAATTAATTTTATATAGCTAAAAATTGTTTTATATAATAGCTGTAACATTTGAACATACATAAGGACATATTGTATAATAATAGATGAGGCCAATTGTAAAATTAATTTAGGGTGGTATACCTGTATGGGTGGTATACCTGTATGGCTTACCTGTATGAACATCTGTATAGCCATAAATAGCTTTAGTTTTGCGAAGTTTCCAATTTTATCTTCCTCTTGAAGATGATCACTTGGTGATCGAAACACGTGTCGCGGTGTAGAAATAACGATTTGGTGTTGGGAAAAAACTCCAGTAATATCTTTTTTTGTATCGAGATGGAGTAGTAGAAAGCCAAAAACTTTCTTTCTCAAAAATTAATAACTCCTAAAAAATATAACCCCTTCAACGTTTGTTTGAAGGTGATTGACAATGTTTCATGATGAATTTCACTAGTTCGGACTTCCATTGTCTTCGATATAAAATGATTTGAAATCTCCTATATAAATTATCTGAAATCACATTCAAATTGCTGAATGAATGTCATTACGATGTCATCGATGACATTAGCAGATCAAGCTTATTCAGTGACATTGAAAAATCGTAATTCATGAATGAAGTGTGTGTATTTTCTATAATGCTATCCAATTTGATACTGGAGAGCCTTAAGGCGAAACATCGGTGTATACCAGTGAGAATGACAGTGTTCCATGTGAGTGCAATTTGTTACCATTCATTTAAAGTGGAACTCATGTGAATGATATCTGATTTTTATTCCACAACAAATGTTTGAAATACAAACTGAGTAGAGAAAAGTATCTTCTGTATAATTCAGTGTTCATACAGAAGTATTTGTTTCGAAAGAATGTTTTTCTTTCGTGTAATTCAATGTTTATATGGAAGTAGCTGTTTCAGGAGGACTTTCTTTCAGTTTGTGACTGAAAGTTACTTCTTTGCATGATCTACACATCCATGTATAGAGTTACTTGTTTTCAAATTGATTACTTCCTTCCTTTCTTTGGAAGATCTTCTCATCTTCTTTTTGTATCAAGATGGAGTAGCAAAAAGCCAAAAACTTCCTTTCCCAAAAATTAATCACTCCTAAAAATATAACCCCTTCAATTTAAAAATACTCATTTCTCGGTTCGAAATTACTCTCTTCAAGTCATCTTTTTTCTACAATATGACCAAGGTTTATAATTGTATAATGAGACAGGATGATGGCAGCACTAGTTCCTTATGTTCACTATATCTCCTTTATTATGAACAAGTAATAATTCACCGGTTATATCAAGGATTGTATTAAGTACGTACCTTTGTAGGAGCAAGTTTACTGGACGGCAGGAAGGCGGCGAAACTTCCTTCCAGCGTATCAGGATTTCCGCAAATGGCATGAGACGTATCGCAATAGTACGAGCATTTGCCATGGAAGCACAGATTATCGCTTGGAGAGACGAAAAATGTGTTCAATAGATCACCTTCGGCTTTTTGATAGAGCTCTGTTGTCATATTCAGAATTCTTCCTGTCACAGGCATGGCTCGCCTAAATCCAAAAAGTCTGAAACCCAAAAGTGATTAAATTTACTTTTCACAAGGGACTTACTCATCAACGAAGTAGATAACTGATCAGTATAGATACACCTGAAGAAGCTATTTTATAGCGAAACACGTATTTTTGCGATATTGTTTAGTGAAAATATCTTAATTAAGTGTTTCTTGCATACGTTAAGGATTTTCGTTTCTTTCTGATCGATTCGACCATTACTTGATGAAGATCCATAGTAATTTCATAAACTACACCATACGATTTGATCTGTGGAGTTTATAGAGATCAAATCGTATGGTGTAGGTAATTTATGAATTTATAGATTGAAGGAAAGCTGAATTGAAAAATTAGAAAAATTGAGCTACCAACTCTGCACTTTGTTTGCAAAATAGTTATTGAAACTGTTCACAATCTGTTTTGGGTTGTGAATAACTTCTCCAGATTCCAGTTCTATTTTGTTCGATATGTGTGACCTGTTTATTTTGTGGTAATTCATGATCACTTTAATGAAATGGATAAAATAGTTATTTATCATACAAGGGAAAAAAGTTTTAGATTTTAGCTCGAGGTTGTGTTGTAGCGGAGGGAGACGAAAAACCGAGAGCTAAAATCTAATATTTTTCCCGTGTATAATACACAATTTTTTTCTGTGGCGGGTAAAACGACTAGGGANCGTTTTTAAACATAAATTAAAGATCTTAGTTAAAACAACAGTGAGACAACCAGAACAGTCCCTGATGAAGAAAGAAGGTATGTTATCTGGACCAGATGTCATTTTGTCCTTCATTTTCTTCAGAGCACTTACAACCTCACCTTCTTCAATTGGATAGAAATTAATACAAACGTGATTCTGGTCATTATATTTGGCAATTGTATTCCGTTCTGGAGGTTGAAAAACGCTACTAAAGAATGTTCCAAAAGCGTTGACAATATCTTGCGGATTTTCTACAGTATTATTGTTAAGATATAATTTGCCCGGTATTCTGGTTGTATTATTCTTGGAGTGAATGTATGACCAGAGTTTATTGGGGTCCTTTGACAAAGAAGATTGTAAATTCTCCGTGTACTCACTATAGGACATTTTTATTTGATATTTAATAGTACGTCTGAGTCTCACAAATTCAAGGAATTCTGCTTGTGAACCAGATTTTCTATATTTTTTTCTATGAGAAGATTTTAGTTTAATATTTTTGATGATGGACGAATTGAACCAGGTAGGATATTTATGGGCATAATTTCTATAAACTGGAACATGTTCATCAAAAATGGTGAATATTTTTTTATATAATAGTTCTACAGCCATATTAGCATCTGTTACATTGGAAAAATCCCAGTTCATCTCATACAGTGTTCTATATAGAGCTGGAAAGTTTGCTCTTCGGAAATTATACGATTTTTGTTGTAAATTACTTCTAAAATTCGGTTGTTTATTCATGATACTAGTAAAGTTTATCATCAGAGCTGGGTGATGCCCATCTTCATACACTAATGGATTATAGTCCCTGGTCACTTCATAATCCAGATGGAAATAACTAAATCTAGTAGTCTGCCTAAATTATTCTCAATTTGGTTTAATTGTTTCAAATTGGATATTTCCAGGAAGTTTTTCATTGTTACTACTTTGGTATCGACAGAGTTATCATCAGTAAATTTGGGAATATTAAAATCACCTGTCATAATAACTGAACCATCACTGAGATAGTTGAGTTGTTCCACGTACTCGAAGAAGACTTCAAATTCAACCGAACTTAGTTTGTCAGGTATATACATCGCAACAATATGATAGATTTGGTAGCTCATGGAGCATTTCAAAATTAATAAATCAATTGAAGGAAATTCGACATCGAAATGGGAAGTATCTACTAATTCAGTTTTGAATGTACTCTTACAGGCTAATAGGACACCTCCACCATCGACTTTCGAAACCAGGTCAAGTCGACGATCTTTTCTAAAGACATCATATTCATCCGGAAACAGCTCCGAGCTCAGCACATCCCGATTCAACCAAGTTTCGCTCAAAACGACCAAATCATATTCACCCTCACAATATGTTGAAGTCACAAAATTATCGATGTGAAGTTTGAATTTTTGAACAGGTAGGCTGTTGTACTTATAGCATTGCAAGTAAACCAATCAGTAGAAAATCAAATATCTGCCAATTTAATTCCGTGATTTGATTTAAAAATTGCGAACTTAGTGGTCAGTAGTTATTTTGAAAAATGTCTAATTTTGAGTTTCCTCTGACTCCACCGGAGTTAGTAGAAGCAGCGAAAGTAGCGTCACAAAAATTATTGCCAGCTGAAAGCTAAATCGCGGAAAATTTATGAAACCGCATATTCAAAATTCATGGAATGGAAGATGAAAAAGACATGCAGTTCTTTCTCGGAGACGGTGTTTTCGATTATTTTTCGGAACTGGCACAACAAAAGCCATCAACAGTGTGGTCGAATTATTCAATGATTAAAATTATGTTACAATCTGATAATAATGTAGATATTTCAAAATATTTCAAACTAATTATATTTCTGAAACAAAATGGGAAAGTTTACACGCCCCAGAAGGCTGCAATATTCACGAGTACACATATTATTTAATAGCCAAGGTTGTTGTTGTATTTGGGATTGCAGGAGCTTGTCGAATTTGTGAAATCAGCCAGGTAATATTAGATGATATTGAACATTCGGAAACGTTATTAATTGTGAAACTCAGGCAAACAAAGAATGATGTAAACAGGAAATTTGTAGTTACTGAAGAATATATTATATTTTATCGAATGTACACAGCCCCTCGTCAACAGGCAGCTAAGGATCGTCGCTTGTTTTATGCATATCGCAATGGAAAATGTATCAATCAAGTTGTGGGTAGCAATCAGTTTCGCAAGGTATCTGAAGCAGTGGCGAATTTTCTTCAACTTGAAAATTCAATTCATATACAGGTCATTCATTTCGAAGATCATCTGCTACACTTTTAGTTGAATCTGAGGAAGACTTGATGACACTAAAAAAACATGGGGCTTGGAAGTTATCAACGGTCGCTGAAGGGTATGTTGATGAATCGGTAGCACACAAGACAGAAATAGCTAATAAAGTGTTTAGAACGTTTGGCAGTGCTGAAATAACACCCACACCCGATTTGCGACCAGGTACATCAACAGCAGTTGTGTTCATGGCAGAAAAAAATATAATTTCAACACAAGGAAATTCGACTGTTGTACCGAATAGTTCAGGAAACATATCATTCATGCATTTAATGATTGTACTTTTGATATAGAGGATACTTTTGTATAAGAAAATATTCAAAAATTAAATTTCTACCTTTACTTCTGTGTGTGTGACACACACATCAATATAAAGACACAATTAAATCACAGCAAATGCTCAAGATGCTGGCCTTGTACATGATACTCCAACTGTGCCCTTCTTCGAATATCATTCGCTGCACGTAATTTCCCTCCTCTTCAATCTTCCAAACTCTCTAACAATACTGTGTTGAAGGTCCTCAATATTTTGATACACCCTCTGATCATAAACTCTATTTTTCAGTGTACTCCATAAAGATGTATATTACTGGAGTTTTTTTCCAACACCGAATCGTTATTTTTAACACTTCGACACGTGTTTCCATCACCAAGTGATCATCTTCAACCCTAACCCTATTTATGCTATCTAGATATCCCCTACAGGTAAACCATCCAGGTGTGCCACCCATACAGATATACCAACCTAAATTAATTTTACAATTTTTCCTTATCTATTATTTTACAATATATGTTTAACTGTTATAATATATAGCTGAAAATTGTTTTATATACAGCTATAACAGTTAAACATATATTGTAAAATAATAGATAAGGAAAAATTGTTAAATTAATTTAGGTTGGTATACCTGTATGGTTTACCTGAATGGGATATCTATGTAGCATAAATAGGGTTAGCTTCGCGGTTGTTTCTAGTTTTGATCTTTCTCTTTGAAGATGATCACTTGGTGATCGAAACACGTGTCGAGGTGTTAAAAATAACGATTTGGTGTTGGGAAAAAACTCCAGTAGTATTCATTACGACACCAAAGGTTCCAAACAGTGCATCATAAGTCCATAATAATGTATCCATAACACTCAAGTCTGGAGACATTCAGTGTGCAGTGGAGCACCATCATGTTGAAACCAGATATTGTTCTAGTTAGTCAAAGTTAGATCCTCCAAATTGAGGTCGAATTTTTCGGAACTGCCTGGGGTTGTTTATGCTCCAAATGAATTCTTTAATTCGGTTGAATATCCCACAATTCTTAAGAGTGATTTCATCCGTTCAAATTACATTTTCCAGGAAAACAGGGAAATCAGGTCAATATTCTAATCACCTTTTGGGATCACCTGGATGTAATTTTTGAGATATGTGTATTTTGTGACATTTTAAGCCACTTTTTTGAGATGTCTCCCAGTACTTGTACAACAAGTATTCATTTTGGAAGAAATTTGACGTGTAGAATTCCCGGGGTTCATGTTTATCTGTGAATGTTATTGAAAAGGGCACACTGTCAAACTTATATACCTCATACATACCTCATTTATCAAATTTTCTTTAGTTTTCTGGTCCATATTTTTTCCTCGGCATTTCAAATGAACCAAACTCGGTAACTTGAACATATTTCGATGCGGTTGTCGCCGTTCGGAATGAAAGTTTAAATACATTTCCGATGTCCTAACACTGTTTCTATCGTATTCCTAATAAATTTGTATCATATTTCTTTTTTCTTCATTCGTGAAAGCCATTTTTCGCCAAATATTCAATGACTTTTACAATCGAGTGTAAGAAATTGAAAGTCAAATTTGGAAAGGTCAAACTCAAAGCGTTATTAATGTTTTTCAATATCTCTAATTTTTCGAAAAAGAATGATAACATATGATACATCATTGAAAAGGTAAAATTTGGTTCTATTCCAAACATAAAGAATCTAATGTAGCGCCCATGAGAAAAAATAAAGTTGATGATGGTGGCCGGAAGACGAAACGTTGG